GGTGGTGTTTCAATCATTCACAACGCGCGCTCGAGCAAACCCCCCCCCCCCCGGGGCGCACGCTGCAACACCCAGGGCGCAGCAGCGCAGCTGGCTGTACCGCATCCGTCCCTCCGTGACGCACGAGCCCTTCCACCCGCTGAACTTCCCGGCGGAGACGCTGACCGCCGACTTTGCCCAGGGCGTGGTGACGCCCAACCAGCTGAGGTGGCGGCCGTTCGCCATCCCCAACGAGCCGGTGGACTTTGTGCGCGGCCTGTTCACCGTCTGTGGCGCCGGCAGGTGGGGCTGGGGCTGTATCCAGTGAGAGCCAGCCCCAGCAATCGTGTCTTGTAAGTAGTCCCTTCAGGGCGGCAGCTGGTGCAGCCGGGCCAGGCTCGACGCGCTGTCGGTGTGAGGAGCCGGCGGCGGCACTTTCTAGAATAGTAGGCATACCTCTTGGCGCATCAGATTCAAAGGGATCGGGGTGGCAACGCAGCAACTCACGCACGTTCTCCTGTCGCTCGTCCGTGGCGCGCTCGCGACCCGCCGCAGCGCGGGGGCCAAGAATGGGTTTGCGGTCCACGTGTACACCGCCACGGCCAGCATGGAGGACTCGTGCCTGGCCAATGCTGACGGGGACATGCTGATCGTGCCGCAGCAGGGTGCGCGACGGACAGGCCCCGCGCCCGCCGCACGCGTTGCTGGCGGTCCGTTTTCGTGGCTGACGAGGGGCTGTTTCTCCCGTAAGAAAGATTCTGCTGAGCCACGGGCGCCCGTGTACTTCCTTCCCCCTGCCCCACCGCAAGCCCCCCCCCCTGGGCCTGGATGTGCAGGCGGGCTGCGGCTGCTGACGGAGTTTGGTGTGCTGGAGGTGGCGCCGCGGGAGGTGGTGGTGGTGCAGCGCGGCATCCGGTTCTCAGTGGAGCTACTGGACGGCCCCGCCAGGTGGGAGGCCAGAGGCAGGGCGGGCCTGAGGACGGGGGGAGGTGTCAGGCGGCAAGTCGGCGGCAGCCCTTGATGCCTAACGGCAGGCAGATTGCAGCATGGCTTCAGTGGCGGGGCCAGCTGCATCTGAAGTAGAGGTTGCTGGCGAGCCTGCAGGTGCGGACACGCGCAGTCATCCAGGGGTTGCCTCTGCACTGCCCGCCTCGCTTGCGTTGCCCTGCGTCCCGCCCCCCCAGGGGCTATGTGTTGGAGATCTTCCAGGGCCACTTCACTCTGCCAGACCTGGGGCCCATTGGTGAGGAGCGAGGCGCTGAGGAGCGGAAGCGCCTTGACAGGAGTGATAAACATGCCTTAGGTTGCACTCGCTGTCCTGCCGCCGATTTCCCTGCGTCCCCAATGCGCACACGTGTGCACATGCCCGCACACGCACACACGCAAAGAAACAAGCACACAAACAAACACTCGTCAACACGGAAACACACCCACACACTCGAACGCTGCTGGTCTTGCGACCCGCGCCGCCGCCAGGCGCCAACGGCCTGGCGAGCCCGCGCGACTTCATGACGCCGGTGGCCTGGTTCGAGGAGCGCGAGTGCCACTTCACGGTGATGCACAAGTTTGAGGGCCAGCTCTTCTCCGCCGCACAGGTGGGCTGCCGGGCGCCGCACCTGCATCCAGGCACCCATACGCCCTCACCAAAGCCATCTTCAAGCCAGGCGTCCGCCGGTCAGCAGCGCCCAAGGTAGAGCTGCCGCCGCCCAGGACCAGGGGAGATTTCGGTTTCGATTGGGCCCTGCTGCCCCTCCCGCCGCGCCCCAGACGTTCTCCCCGTTCAACGTGGTGGCGTGGCACGGCAACTACGCGCCCTACAAGTACGACCTCACGCGCTTCTGCCCCGTCAACGCGGTCAGCTTTGGTGAGCGGAGGGCCGGCTGCGCGGGGCAGGCCGAGCAGCCGTGCCTCGCGCGCGCTTTGCGCTCGGGCTGCTGTTTCTGGCCCGGCGTCGCGGACCACTTGCCCATCGTTGGCGCAAAACCGAGCGCATACAGCAGGGCTTTTTACGTGATGCCCCGGTGACTCTGATCGCCGGCTGGTATCTTCACTTCGGTTTCACATCCCTTTTCTTGCTGGCTCCCGACCCGCCCAATCCGCAGACCACCCAGATCCCTGCATCTTCACAGTCCTCACGGCGCAGTCCGACACGCCAGGTACAACGCCGCCGTCTCTGCTGCTGATGCGGCCGCTGCTGCAGTTTGCGCAGCTGCTGCGGCCTTGGACGGTTCGGGTGCCTTTGCCCTGCAGGTGCTCGTTGTGCTGCGCAGCAGCCTCCACTAGCTCAATCAGCTGCCGTACACCACGGCTGGTGGCAGGCAATGCTGGCCTGGCACTCCCAAACCTACCCCCAAATGCACGCCTCAATCATGACAATCCTGAATGAGGCCCGCCCTGTATAACCCCCCACCACCCAGGGGTGGCCGTGGCGGACTTTGTGATCTTCCCGCCGCGCTGGACTGTGGCGCAGCACACCTTTCGGCCGCCCTACTACCACCGCAACACCATGAACGAGTTCATGGGCCTCATCACTGGCATGTACGAGGCCAAGCGGGACGGCTTCCTGCCAGGTGGGTCGGTGACAGCAGGCGTACACGCATTTCTGTGCGCGTGTGCGTGCACACGGGTGCGCGTGTGCGTGGGCGTGCAAGCCCCCCCAAAATCAAAGGCCGCACGGGGCAACAGCGTCGGCCATGGCAAGAGTGTGGAGGCTCTTTGTGCAGGCCCAGTGCCTGGAAGGGTCACTTCGCGACCTTCACTCTGGACTGTTGCATCCCGCTCCCGGCGTGCAGGCGGGGCAAGCCTGCACCTGTGCATGACGCCCCACGGCCCCGACACCACAACCTACGAGGCCGCCGTGTCGTCTGAGGCGGAGCAGCCAGCCCACCTGGGGCGCGACACGCTGGCCTTCATGTTTGAGACGTCCATGACGCCGCGCGTCACGCCCGCCGCGCTGGGCGCCACAAACATTGACCGGTGGGCAGGGGCCGTGCGTGGGCCGTTGGGTGGCGGGGGCGCACTCGGGCTCCGCGCGGGCGCTGTGTTAAGTTGCCTGCCATGCCCCTGGCGGGTAGATGTGTGTTGATAGATCCCACAATGGGCAGCAGCGGCAGGTCATGACTCATGATGGACTTAATTGATGACAAACTCAACAGCCTTCCCTCTTTGACCGACCTCAACCAGTCTTGACTCCGCTGCGTGACAGCGCGTACGTCTTCTCAACTGCCCCTGCGCCCGGCCCCTCACAGGGATTACTACAAGTGCTGGGTCGGCCTCAAGTCGCACTTTGACCGCAACTGGCGGCCGGAGGGCCAGGGGGACAACGCCGATGCGCCGCTGCAAAATGGGGAGGGCGTGGCGCCCGCATCGGCGCCGCCGGCGGGCGCTGCCAACGGCGTCGCTGCTCGGTGAGGCTGTGTGAGGTCGCGCCTGCTTATGAGCACGCAGGGGCCCCTCTTTGTACTATAGCCACACCGCTGGCACTCCCATGCACCTGTGCTGGGCCAGTCACTTGTATCAACAAGTCTGCTGCACTTTGGGCACGCACCTTCTGACAGGGCTTGCGATCGTTTTCCCTTGCGCCGCCCGCCTGTTGATTGTGCCTGAGAGACACACGGCACTGAAAATTCGTCTTTGATGTGGGCGCTGCCTACGTGCAGATCAATGCTTGCGCACACTGTCAGCACACTCGACATGCAGCAGCTGTAGAGTTGCGGAGGAAGTCAACATTACTGGGTGCCAGCTGCTTGCCAATAATTGTGTCATGCTGCAGCTGTGGGGGTTCAGTTGTGGACAAAGCTTTACACAAATGATAGCTGTTGCTTCTGCACTGGTGTTGTAACTGGAGTGTTAGCGAATGCTGTTGATTTTGACCCAATAGTCAGACAATACAGCGCATCAGCACAGCGACATGATGGGATGCGATGTGTGCTACAGGCCTCATGCGCAGGAGCTGGAGGCCGAAGATCCAGCCACCACCCTCGCTTTCTGGGCTGAGCAGCCAATCTGGTGCATTTCAAACTTGTGGTCTTACCACCTACTTGCGAATTGCATGTGTACCTATTCGCACGTGACCGTATTACATTTGATGCACATTGTTGAGTCAAACATACTTTGACCACTAGCCACGTGTCTACGCCGCCATGGTCCATCGGCATGATCAAACTGCAAAACCTGTCCAGCATCAACCCGTGTTGCATGCGGTGAGGATGATGATGCGAGCTGCGTAGCCTACGCTCGTCGTCGGAGGGATCGGGTTCACGTATTTCTCAACGCAGGATGCAATTTCCGCACAGGCAGCTCTGCAGGATCACTTGTGCCGTTTATTTTTTGCCAAGTCCGCGGTGCAGTTACCAGGGGCACCCCGCTTGCTGCCGTCGCTTGAGCCGGTGCGTTGTGATGGCGCAATTGTGGTTTGCTGCTCGGTGCTGGCCCGGTCAGCGCAGTTCGCCACACATGTGACATACTTGATGTGCATTCAATTTTGCGTGCTGTAAACTGACTGTGTGCATTGCATTAGTCGGCTTGCTGTCATCTGCGTCACTTCAGCTGCCATTCAAAATCGCCCAGGGCGCCCCTTTGACGCTGGCGCAGCGGTGCGGGCTCGTGCCGCGCCCCGAGGCGCTGCTGACGCCGCAGCAGTGGGATGCCGTCCGCGACCGCTTCCGCCGCCGCCTGAAAGGCGACAGCTGCGCCATCTGCAGGGAGTCGTTCAAAGCCGAGAGCCAGCTGCTGCTCTCGTGCTCACACGCCTTCCACGAGGCGTGCCTGCACAGCTTTGAGCGCAGCTGCGGCCCCGGCGGCGCCCGCCGCTGCCCCCTCTGCCGAGCAGCGTACCAGAGCACACAGATCAGGGATGCGGCCGAGGCGTGGCGCCACAGGTGCGCCACCGTAATCGCCGCGGCAGCGCGCGCGTGGATCGCGCGCCGCCGCTACCGCGCCATGCTGCGTCAGGCGCCTGCCCCCGCGCACCCGCATGTGCGCCGCCTGTGGCTGGCCGCCCGCCTGGAGGGTGCGGCGGCGGTGCAGATGGCAAGGCGCGGCTGCGGCAGCAGCGGCGAAGGGGGAGACGGCGTCGACGCGTTATTTGCTGAGATTGACGTCTCGCTGGCGGAGAGCAGAGGTGTGTGGGCCGCGGCAGACAAGCGGCTGTTCCAAGGAACGGCCGAGCCCCCCGGTGCCCAGGTTGCTGAAGGCAGTAGTGGGGCAGTCGCAGCGGGCACCGCACAGCAGCAGGTGCCGCAGCGTCCGGCGGATGCGCAGCAGCGCGCTCCAGCATCAGAAGCGCGCAGGCGCCCGGCGGCGCTGGGTCGAAACAGCCGGCCCGGCGGCCCGGCAGTGGCGCTACCACCATCACCACCACCACCACCAGCAGCAGGTCAAGGGATTTCAAGAAGCCTTGCTGTGGGCCGGGAGCCGCGCGGCAGTAGAACTCCAGTCCGCACCCGTAGTGGGCGTGGCAGCCAGCGGCAAACCCAACCACAGGTGACGGCTGCAGCGCCGGGGCGTGTAATGGCGGCGAGGGCCGCAGCTGCGGCCGCGGTTGCACACGCTGAGCTGCGACTCGACCTGCACGCGCGGCTGGCCAGCCGGGCCCAACAGCAGCAGTCGGCGGGTGCGATCTCCGCCGAGCAACGCGTGCAGCTGCAGCAAGGCGTAGGTTCAATCGCCGGCGGAGGTCTCACAAGCAGCAGGAGTGCTCGAGACCAGCTGCAGCATGGCGTGACCGCCGCTGACGAGGGCGACAGTGAACAGGCTGTCGATTGGGGGCCAGTGCTGGCGCGCGTGTGCGAGCGCGGCGAGACCGAGTGCGCGATGTGCCTCTGCCCCCTGGCCCGCGAGGAGGGCTGCGGCGTCGCAGTGCTGTCCTGCTCGCACGTGCTGCACGCCGACTGCATAGGGTCCTTTGAGGCTTTTCAAGGGGGTCGCCGCGGGACGGGGCGCTGCCCCATGTGCCGCGGCGCGTACGTTCGGCGCTGCTTTGCAGCCGGGCCACCTGCTGCCACATGATGGTGGTTGGTACTTCGTGTTCGTTGTTAGACCGGCTACATGTTGGTTGTGGCAGGTTGGGCTGCTTGCAGTGCAAGCAGCTTGTGAAGTTGCAACAGGTGGACAGCAGAAAATGCGTCAAGATAAACGTATGATGGCTGTCAGGCAGGCCGTGAGCGTGTCAGTGTGCCCCTCCATGATGGTACAATCCAGGCGGCAAGCTGCACTCAGAGCCGTGACGCGTCCGCAGGCTGTGCAAACTCGGTGGCTCAGACGCGCACCGGTTGCAGCACGGAAGATCCCGGAATGCAAAACAAGCAGAAGTTCAGCAGCGATTACGTCAGGTGATGTCTGCTCAGCGTCGAGACTGTCCATTATTGGCTTTCGCCACCTCTGCTGCGTAAAAGGCAGAGATGGTGCACATGATGCTGCGGCATCAAACAACAGGGCAGCGAGCTGTGACATGCGAGTGGGCGAGGCAAGCTACTGATTTCAGTGGGTGTGGCAGCTGCGAGGGGCAAGATGTCTGCACCAAGCGAGCCTGCGCAGGTACCTGGGTGCGCGTACAGTTGGCCAGCTTCCAGCTGCGTTGGTAGGTGAGCAACCAATCCACATGCCATGGCGCCAGAGGGCTGTTAGCCGGAATATGCGGCTGACTCTGTTCAAGAATGAGGCCAACAAGGACACTGTGGTCAACCTCTGTTCCCCACACACCGGGCTGGCGCCATGTATGGTCATGGGGCCCCGTTATGGAGGGTCACCCGCCCCAGTAGTGAGGTGGCGCCGGTGTGACCAGGCCGGATGGACGCGCACTGCATGGACTCAAGCTCGAGGCATGCTTGGTCTACGTGAAAAGAGCGTGCATCAGAGACTGAGTAGTGACGCGTGATCTGGGCAGTTACCAGGCACAGGGGCATCAGCAGTACACGCTTTCTGGATTTTTCTGTGTTCCTCGCGCTATCATCTACCTGTATTGGCAGTGGACACCTGCAGCGGACACCCAAGTGCTAACAGTTGTCGCGACAATAGAACGCGCGCTGGGGCGCGCGCAGAGGACGCCATGGTCTTCGGTCCTGTCATTGGAGCGGGCTTGGGCGCTGTAGCCGGAGCCGCGGTGAGCTGCGGCGCAGGGCGCCATCCGTGTGTCTCCTGCTTGCGCTCTGCTGTGCTGCACAGGTGCTCCGCCGTTGGCGCCCACTCCGCCCCGCCCCGCCGCGCCCCCTCCTGCCCGCAGCTGGGCGCCGCCGTGTTCAGCGGCGACCGCCCCAAGGACTTCAAGTTCATCACCGAGGCGGCCGACCGCGACGAGAACATCCGCACGCCCGCCTCGGCCAACGTCAACGATGACATGCGGCGGCTGATCCCGCTGACCCCAGAGTGGACCTTCTGGCCCGACTTTGACAGGGTGAGGCCTGCAGCGGCACACGTGCACAACCGCGCACGTGACGAGGCGTAGGGCGACGCTTTGCGACAGAGGCGCGGCAAGCTGGGGCGCTAGCTCGCGGGGTGTGTGAGGGGGCCTGGTGCTGCGCCAGCGCGGGCGCGGCTGCGGCAGACAGGCTCGGCGATCCCGGCGGCGGCTTCCGAATCGGCAGCTGCGCTCCAGCCGAGGGGGGCGCGCGCCACGGCGCATGGCGCGCGCGGACGGAATGGCATGGCGCGCCGCTCTCGTGGCCGCACCCGGCTGCGGCCTGCTGACCCCCATCTGCCTATCTTTGCTGCTGAACTCATCTGGCTGGCGTTCTATCACTGCAACCCTCACCGAACCGCTGCCGCGGCCCCTGACTGCGATGCCCCCCTTACCCTCGCACACCCCCAGTGGGCCATGGTCAACCGCGTGGTGCGCCTGATGTGGCCCAACCTGACAGGCGCCATCATGCACGAGGTGGTCAAGCAGCTCAAGCCCACACTGCAGGGCATACTCGCAGACGTGAGCGCAGCCAACATCGGGTTTGGGGGGGAGGTGTGATAGGAGAGGAGGGGCCGAGAGGGCGCGCTGCCTGCAGCCGGTTCAGAACCTGTGTGGTTGGGCGCCGCCCACGCGGCACGCTCCAGCAGCTGAAGTTCCATCTCGCTCCTCAGACCAACTCAAGAGTCCGCCACCCCGCCGTGCGGTCCCCACCCCGCCC